ACACATTTATTCGCGCATGCACTCACAAGGCAAGAAAACTAAAAAAAATCACAGCATATCCACGGAGTGCATGATGATGAGTGCGGTGAGGCATCCGTCAGTCCGTCCACGCTTCCGTCTGTCTGTGCATCCGTTCATGCATCCGTCCGTCCGTGCATCTTATCGTCCAGTGCGTACGTTAATTGATGCGTTCATTTGTGCTGTGCATCCGTTCGTCCTTGCATCTGTCTGTCTATCCATCCGGCTGTATATGTAGGGAACTCTCCAAGTACCGCCATCTCGCATCTTTTCATCACATAATCATCATATAAAAGTAACGCCACCCAGCGGACATTCCAAGGATTAAACGAGAGGTGGCGCAGACAAACGTGTGCACACTCTTGTGGCCCCTGCTTCATGTTTAGTTTATGGCACTGCAGCCTAACCTTCGCTAAATCGTGCTAAAACCAAGGCGGTTACGCCCAGCGAGAATAATGTGCCAACCTTTTCTGGTCCGATATTGTGCTCAAAGTGCGTCCCTCTGTTAATAGTTTTCTTTAGTAAGCATCAAATTCAAGGCAAGTTTATTGTAAATTCAGGCACCAATGCTCGTCGCGGTAGGTTATTTCATCAGAAACAACTATCTTTTTATTTATAATTAACGTGCACGGGTTTCCTCTTCAATTCAAATGAGTGCGCATGTGCCGCTCCTCTAGTCTGGCCGTGGTGGTGGCTACGTACTACTATGACGCACTACTACTACTACTACTACGTCTACTACGAGCGCACTAGCACCTACTATTACTACTACATATATCATGAACGCACGACCCAGACGCAGGCAGAAACTGCACACCATGTTCGTGTCCTTTTCATGCTACATTGGTACTGATCTTAATGGATCAGTACCAATTCACTCGCCTCTACGTTTTGGTTCACTTTATAACTTGAAATGTAACGCTGAGAATGGCTAGGAGATCAGATCGAAACGTGCAGCCCGCTGCTTCCGCACAAATCACGCACGAAAAGAACATACACAGGACGAGAGCTGACTAACGTGTACAACGCAACACTTGATGCGCTGTTTAATCAAAATTGATGCACGAAACATAATCACAGGTGCAGAGGGGTGGCATGAGTGCGAACTAATGAGTGTCCCAGTTGTTACTTTGCTGTGTTTGAAAAGCACTCTCTTCACAAACGAGGCCTGCCTAGCAAGCGAAGTTAACCTTTGTCGCCCAGGCAACTAACGCAATCATTCCGGTGAAAGGCAAAGGCACACGATTCTCCCCACTGAAGGATACACGAGCGCACTAGCACCTATCCCCCACCCCACCCCCATACGTGAGCAAAGTACCCGTGGGAGATAAGCTACGTTGGCGCATTGCGACGAGCTGGGTGCTGAGCGCGGACGGCTTTTTTCCTATATATAGAAATGTATACATATATGGTGCATGAATGCAGCTTAAAACCAGACGGTAAAAACCAGCCAAGACTGTCCATATAATTGCCATCGCAATAAAACTAAAGAAACACTGCTGTGTTGACACGAGCCATCTTGCCCTAACAATGTTAGTGGCAATAATCTAAAAATGATATTTTGTTTTCATGGGGAGCAATTGATGGTGCCCTGATGTAGTTTTTCCCTGCCTTTTGAAATTTGTGGGCTTCAAATATTCCGTGGTGACGAAAAAGAACCTTCGTTCTCGAAAAATCTGCAGTGCACCCGCAGTCCCGGCAGTGCATGTCCAAGTGTGTCAGGGGTGCAATACTTAGGAGGGAATACCTTTCAAACATTGTTAAAGACACTAGCACTACAGAGTGAAATCAGGACAGATAATGCATCTGGCAGCTTTAAATAACCATACAGACCATACAAGTTGTATATAGTTCGAACACAAAGCAAATATAACCGAAAGTACAACGCACAAAAGTATTCAAGTTTTACACATAGGTGACCATTGATGAGCAGAGTAACAAAATCCAAGACACTACACTCAACGAACGCTGTTCCATATGCTTCAAAATTCATCAAAGTTGAGAACTTTTCAACATCACATGTAGTTAGTTGAAATCATGTCAAAACATATATGCCACTTATCACACGAAAAAAAAAGGAAGATAATAATGCTTATATGTGGTTATATTGAGGAATAGTAGGCCTGTATCATTTTTTTCTAATACTTTTGAAGAGTTAATTTTAGTCGCATTGTGCGGTAGCACGTTCCACTCTTCAAAAGTGCCAACCTTTGTAGGTATGGGCACAGATTGGTCCTGATGGCTCGATCTCACAGACTGTGAAATACGTGACATTCTGTTTTGTATGCATCTCAGGGTTAAATCTAAAGCAGCCGTGTTTCATTAAGTGAATGAATTTTAATCTAGCCACTTTTCGCCACAATGAAATCTCAGACAAGCTTTGTTGTGTGAGCACGTCAGTCACTGAATTTGTGTACCTGTATTTTTTAATTTTCTTTATTTCGTTTTTTATGTGGATCCCATATTATGCTTCCGTATTCAAGTGCGTGTCATATCAAAGTCATGTATACAGTTGGTTTAACATCTAGGGAAGCAAATTTTAGCTTACGCCTTAATGTCCAATGCTCTACAATCTCTACAATATTACATAAGCTAATAATATGTTTTTCTAAGATAAGTCATCTGATATTGTAATGCCTAAATACTTGAAATGCCTCACTTGTGTGTTGTGAAGTGCATTGTTGACTACTAGAGACCGGATTGAATGCCTATTTTGTTTCTTGCATTCCTATTGTGCCACTTTGATATATTATCATGAATTAGAGCTTAAGAAGAGCTTTTATAGATGTTGTTTGTGCCTAAATTTTTATAAGTGTCTATAAATGTCTATTTTCAAAATTGGTATTGATATGAACACTATTTAACCTCAGATTTTGCTTTCGAGTACATTTGTTGACTGGTGTTCATATTACCAGGCAAAATTGAGCTTTCGGCACTTTATGAGGTGCAGCCTATACTCCATCTCATAAGTTCCTTTCAGCACTGTCAAGGCGACAAGGCCTCTCAGACAGTAGGAAGGCCAATCGACCTCCATCACGTATTCATCTGTGTCACGTCGTCTGCTTGGCATCTCCGCTGTGTCTACTCGCATGCGTATAGGGAACAGGAGATGATTCTGTACAGTCGCAGAATAATGAACAAATGCGTGTCATGAGGGCGAAGTAGGTGTAAATCAAGAAGACCAAGGATGCTCACGTGTTTTTGTTTTCTTTGTCATTTCTTAAATCGTGCGCCACTACTTCACATGAGAAATTTTACTTGTACACTATAAATTGTTGCTTGCCCAATAAAAAGCATTGCACCACTAGAATTTTTATTTATTTCATTACAAGCTGTGAAAGCATGATACGAGGAAGTGAGCTTGAAACCTTTGCCACTCACACGGTGTGTACTTCGCAAGCCCCTCTTTGATATTGGAGCAACTTGGAGCCGAATGATCACATGACGCAGACACACCAACACGTCATGCGCACGCAAAGTTACATTTGCGTTACATGCTCATGCGAAGTTAAGCACGCAAGCGCTGTTGCGTCGTTTCTACTTTCTCTGCATTGTACTGCCTGTTTCTGTGGGATGGATTCCTCTTGTGGATATGTTTAGAGAGGCTGGCATCGATAATGTATCCTCACGATACACAGCCTCGCACCACTGGAAGTGGTCTAAGGGACGATGCACCAGAAACATGTCAACATATGTCAGGGCTGGCACCGGTAAGATGTGAGAATGGCAAGAACACAAGTGCAAATGAAATGAAGGCAGCTTAGCGTCGCATCTCTCCTGATACGACATAGATTGCATTTGTATGTTTTAATACAAATTGAATCTATTTATGTCTACCTTCATGCCTCTATTCAGGCAACAGAGTGCACAAATTGCACATGTCGCCTTGAATAATTCTTGCAGTGTCATGTACTACTTTGGCGTACGCAGGTCCATTTCTTGTATACGTACATCACCTCCATGATGTTGGGGCGAGTGCTCGTCAGATGAAGGTCAAGCGGTGTTCATTCTGACATGTCACCTTTTTCTAGGGCGCATAGCATTACAAATCTTGGCAGATGAGATCATGAGTGCCCAGTGCATGCATTCCTCTTGCCTGCTCAAAGTTCTCGAACCTGGTGAATGGCCCTTGTGAACCTGGTGAATGTAACCCTGCGTTGTTAGACCAAGTTAATACGAGAAAGAAAGGCCTATTATCACTCTGGCTCCTTGCTGCTCTGTTGCCCTTCTCAGCCATGCCAAAAGAAACAGACCCAGGAGTGAATGGCCATGATAAACCATTTGCGCCTTTTTACCATCATAAACTAAAAGATTTCTGATTGCTTTTCTGTCATAGACACAGATCCCACTTGAATTTTGACTTTCTTCAAACTTTATTGTGCCTATATTTACGATTTCCAGGGCCTAAAATAGTGTTTTGCCTGCCTATTTTTGGCGCCTAATTCCAGGTCTTTTATTGTCTAGGAATCCGGTCTTTATTGCTCACGTCACTCCAAATGGCACAGGTATTCATCGGCATAGGAACTATGCATGTTGTGTCTTCGTGGCAGCATGACTTGAGAGCATTTTGCCACAGTCTATGGAGTTTCAACTATATTTATAAGTGCAATCAATTAATTCAGTCATTGTAAAAAATTTAATCCTAGCTTGGAGTCTGTATTTAGCCGAAAAATGTGAGGAACCCTTGAAATGTTGAGAATATCCTTGAATTTTCTCCTTTAAAATTTGTATGAGTATATATATGTGTCTTCGTTTCACGTGCTGCAGTTGACCGTACAGCCTTGATCATCAAGTGCAATCTTCTAATCGTTTAGTTCTTTCAGTAGATTGTTATTCTTTGGCACGTCATTCTTGTTGCCGCCACATAAGGTTGATGCGTATTTTCAGTAGATAAGTTGTCAGTTTTGTTCATCTTTCTTTTCTCGTGCCTTGTCCTGCTGCGCGGAGATAGCTGCATTCTGAAGTGGAACCACATTGTGCAGGGTGACTCAGCTACCGGGTCAGGCCGGCTGCGCATGGGTGCTGTGGTGGAAAAGCTGACACAGGCAGCTGCTGGGAAGCTACCAGTCACCTTGGTGTTGGATGATCCCTGTGGTAACAGCTATGTGCAGAATCTGTGTGCCCCGGAGCCAGACCCAGCCCTGAAGGTCACGCAATACGAGCGTACTTTCGAGCAGAATGAGCTGCTTGGGCTGAACGACATGAGGACTGAGAATTATTTGTGACACACATGAAAAAAATTGCATGACCTTCTGCATGCTGATTTGTTTCATCAGAAAATGATTAAATCCTGGATTGCATAGCCATTGCCTTCTGTGCATTCTCTGTGTGGTGATGTACTGCAGCTACATTGCCACTATTTTTATATGTTGCCTGTGAATGTGCAGGATTCTAGTGTGCATGCAATTTCACAGAACTTGTACCCTCTAATTATTGAATAGCGTATTTTACTGACTATAAGTCACTGCTTTTTTTTTTTTGTCTGAGAATTCTGTCGACGTATTTTGTATAGTGGGGTATTTCGTATAGGTAAATAAACCTATGCATGTTGAGCACCCCACACCTAGAAAGGGAAGTGTGCGGAGCGCTGCATGTTTCTCTTGCCAGAGAGGGTCCCTCTGCACGACATCGCTACGAGGGGCACTTCTGCAAGGGACGCTGCGTGTATGGACAGCAGCCACCGCCATCGCAAATCACTCAAAGGAAGTGTAGCGCTCAACAGCGGGGCTTTGATGTGGTTCTTTTATTATTGTACTTCGATCATACATTTTTTAGCAGTGATGACAATGACCTATAAAACGATGAAGAAAGCTTAACATTCTTGCTTTATTCCTAACTGCAACTTTGGGTGCAGAAAAGGTTACTAGAATAAACTCGGTTTGAAAGCTCTGCCAGAGAGGCAGGCCGGATGGCGGTCGCGAGAAGTAGTGGCGTTGCAGTTCGAGTTTGCTCCCGCTGCCCGTGTTGTGATCGGCGACGGCAATGGAAAGCGAATGGTACGCTGTATTCACACGTCACCTTTCGGGTTGTTGTGTAGACGGCGTAATTTCTTGTACGAAAACGTGTTTGCCTTGCACGGTAATCGAGAGTTCATATTGTTGCGCAAATGAAAATTATCATTCTGGTATTTATTATTATTATTACATGCGGCAGAAATTACAGAGGAGGAGTAGATTCATCTATAGTACGGTACACCGACTTGCTTTGCGCCGGACTCCAACAGCGACGACCGCAACGAAGACTTTGCTTCGCGCAACTTGTTTGCTTCTTTTTTGTTTATTCATGTGAACATAGTTCTACAGTCGCAGGGGCCAAGATAAAAGGTGCTATAAGCAGCTTTAGAAGCTCATATGGGTAGGTAGCCCCCAGTCTCTTTAGCCCTACGGTGAAGGGCTAGCAGACTGGACAATTGTAAGGAGATTTTCTTTCTAGCCTTGCACGGTAACCGAGAGTTCATATTGTTGTGCAAATGAAAATTATCATTCTGTTATTATTATTATTATTGATATTATTACATGCAGCAGAAATATATGGATATAGCAAAGATGATGCCATTGACTATTATGTATATATTGTGTGAAGCAATTACGCAACAGTTACAAACACAGCAATTCTAAAACTTGTGCGACACTTAGGGTTCTGCGTCAAAAGTAGACCGTGATAGAGTAACCAGGCCCTGTGCGAATCACCTTCTCAATTACTTGTTTAGCTTCGGTCTCGATGTATGCCTCAATAATGCCGTGAGGCATCGAATGACTGTGCGTGCAACACTGGGCTTTTCAAATTATCGTAGAATGTCTATTGAAAGTACAATTGTAAAGTTCCAACTACGCCAATCCGTGAAGGGCCCTCTATGTGTGCATAAGGCAACACGTGAACATATCTTTGAGTGCTTTGTAATGGATAGGCCTTTAAAGCACCCACTCGTTGCACATTTCACATGTATGGACGCCTGGCCCAATTCTACGCTTCTACCACTTACAACATAAAGGAAACAAGTCTAAACATAAGGCCTCGTTTTATTGCTTAGACACTATATTAATGATTACTTCTACTACTGACATTTATATTGTTTTTCTTTTTTGTTCGTGTCAGTTTCGACTATTGGCGTTCCTCTGTGGTAGAACACCTGATTGCCAGGTGTTCAATTCGATTCTTAGTCATAATGATGTTCTTGATTATTTATTCTATTGGCAGGTTTCTAGATTTTTTTTTTGTCACAGACAAGGTGACGTTTTCTCACTCACAACTGAGATGCTGACATTGGAATTTCTGTGAAACAAGCTCTTTAAAGCTATTGCATTCATATAATATACAGTGCATAAATATTTTAAATGTAATTATACGTGAACAGACAATCGTTTATCAAACAACATAGTTTGAGGGCATGATCAAGGATAATCAAGTGTCACACTGAAAGGTAGTTGTAACCTCCAATGAAAATACCCCAGGAAACTGAGTGGACGAGCGAAACAAGTTGAGACCATGTTACTATAGCAAAATATTTTAATCTGGCATGGTGAAGTAAATCTTTTGCATGCCATACTTTATTCTTGATTGGGGTGTAAACCAATTTATGTTGATCGTGACAGACCTCCAAAGAAATCCGACGCAATTAAAAAGGTGAAAGCAAGCTTTGCGTCACGAAGTTAAAAAGGCCACAGCCGAACACAAGGTCTATGATGTTCAATTTGAGAACGACAACATGGTATAATGCATGACCGTCATGGTTTTTTGGACAAGATGTTTTGAACTCATGGAAAAAGTGAGAAATCGCGCCCGGTACCTTTCCGTGCTTGTTCTCAGCAATTTCACCCCATATATGAAAGCCAAAATGTTCATAACAGAGGCATCAATCCCCATCAATGCATGGCGTCCTTTGAATGTCAAGTTCAGAGTTTGGAGGAGCCGCCAGAAATAGAACAGCAAGATGAAAGGCGCGCGATGAACAACGCTCTCCATACTTAGAGAGTTGCATCACAGTGACATTCGATCAATTATTAACTGTTGAAGCATCTACAAAGCAGCGGATATTGTTGCTCTAAGGGGGGGACGCGGCCCTTGAAAACCGAAAAATCGCGAAAAAGTCGGTTTTTTGAAAAACCACATTTTTAGGTTGTATGTCTCATAAACTACCTATTCTATAATTATCAGCACCTAATTCAACCGCAAAGTGCAAAAAAAAATACTATTTTCGAGGCCGCCGCGGCGTCCAAAACAGGCGCAAATCCCGAAATCAAACCAAACTTCGCGCGCGCGCCATTCCCGGACCATGCGGTCGTCCCGCGCCATCTTGGTGTTGTTTTGACCGTGAATTCTTTCTCTCTCGTTCGCCGCCTTGCAAAATGGCGTCGGCAGCACAGTTGAGACGCTATTGGCGTTTTCCCGTGATGCAATGCGGAGCGCTGAGTGGCTAGAGCAGCGCATTCATATCTCGCGGGAGAAAGCGTGCCCGCCATTGGCTGCTGTGCAGCAGCGGGGGCGGTCGCTCCTCTCGATGGCGCGTCCAGCGCGCTCGCTTCGTTGTTGCTCTCTGCTCCGTCCGCCTTGACAGACGTCTGCTTACGAGCCGCTCTTCGCCTTGTGCTATCTTTTCGATCATTTTCTCTCGTTTTTTTTTTTCTTTTTGCACTAGTTCTGTGCCTTTCGTCTTTGTTGTTGCGGGCGATGCCGGCAACGAAGCCGAAGTCAGTGCGGAAGTCCGGTGCGCGGAGGCGCGCTATGCAGCTTGTACGATCATCGAAATTCCGCTATTCTGCTGCGGGTGCCGACTGCGTAGACGCTTGAAGCGACGGAACTGTGTTGTCGGCTGTCGCCAGTCGAGAATCCGACACATCGAGTGTGGCTGGAGCCGCAAATGCACCGAGTGTTTCCGAGATCGCCGGGCTCGACACGTGCTTCGAATCGATGCCATCCAGTGTGACACTGAGTGCTTCTGATATCGCCGGACCCAGCACTTCGTCTGAATCGGTGCCGCCATCGAGCGTGAGTGGACCGTCGCTTCATCTGCGGACGCGTTTCCTAACGAAGGAAGAAATCGATGCGAATGCGAAACGTCGTGACGCCGTTCGCGCTGAACTCGAGTCTACGCCGGCGACGCAGAAGAAATTTCAACTGATGCAGCCGGCTCTTGCACCTGCAGTGACAAGTGAGGGCGAACATTTTTCGCTCGTTCAAATGAACATCTTTAACGTCGTGCTCATTCGCACAGTGTTCAAAGAATGTTTGAAAGGTGCTATGACTGTCCCAGAGAGCACCAAGCTTGGACTTGCAACAAAACTTGAAGTCGTGTGCGCCTCTTGTGGCACCGTCGATAAATTATGGACATCACCCCGCAAAAAGGACACGCAGGCCTTCGATGTAAATGTTCGCGCCATAATGGCTATAAAGCAAATAGGCAAGGGGCAAACAGCTCTTAATCACTTTTGGGCTGCCATGAACGTCTCTTACAGAGGTCTTCACCACAAGACGTTTCAAAAGCACTTGAAAGAGACGTTCAGGAAGCCAGAGGCCACCGCTTTGGAGAAGTTTTATGCTGATTCTGCCACAGCAGTGATCGAAACATATAAAGAAATGGACCCCAGCTTCTGCAAGGACATCACCGTAGTGTACGATGGCACATGGCATAAGCGGGGTCACACATCACACATCGGAGTGGGATCGGTAATTGACTTCTTTACAGGTCTCATCTTGGATGCTGCAGTTCTTTCAAACCACTGCCTTGGATGCCAAACAGGGCCCAAACCTGGAGATGCAGCATACGAAAGCTGGCAGAAACACCACATTTGCCAGAAAAACACAGACGCAAAATCGGGAAGCATGGAAGTGGAGGCAGGCTTGACTTTCTTTGGGCGGTCTGTATCCAAGCATGGCCTGCGGTACACCACTCTTGTGTCCGATGGAGACAGCCGTACCTTCGCTGCCCTCACAGAAGAGAATGTGTACGGGCTAGTGCCAATTGTAAAAGAAGAATGTCTGAACCATGTTCAGAAAAGGATTGGAAGTGCTCTTCGAAACATTGTGCAGAAAAGTGATAAGCCACTGAGTGGGAAGGGGAAGCTGACTAAAGCCCTCATTGAAAAGGTGACAGGATATTATGGTTGGGCCCTGAGAAACAATTCAACTGACCTAACAGCCATGCAGCGTGCAGTGATGGCAACATATCACCACGTCACACCGACTGACCAGGACCCTCACCATGAACTTTGCCCAGAGGGGGCTCAATCATGGTGCCGCCATAGAGCTGCAGAGGCAAAGCGTGTGCCACAGCCAAAACATAAACACAGCCTACCGGACTATGTTGCTG